AAAATATATAAAAACTTCATTGATCAATTTTAAGTTATATAATAAATAACTTTCAGTATGGCATAAATAAATTTAATTTTTGTTACTGAGGTGAAATACATTATTGTAAATTAACCTAAAGGAATATTTAGATGGTTTCTATTAATATTTCATTTCATTTTATGAAGAAAAAGCAAAATAAGAGATGAAAATAAATAAAAACAAATGTACTGAAAAGAAAAGCAGTGGTGTCTCACGTAAAATAAATTGATTATTAATTTAAAATAAAAATATTTATTAGTATCCTGCTTTAAACAGAAAAAATAATTTTATTATGTAAAATCCTAGTGGTACAGTACAATTAATTACATATTTTGGTGCTGCGTGTAAAATATCTGTAAAAGTCTATCCTGCAAATTTTTTTTTGTAAATCGTAATTTGAAATAATTCTATACATTTGTTCAAGATATCATGTTAATTTCAATTACTATTTTTTCCATTTTTAATTATTAGTGTGAATTTTTTTAAAAAAAAAACTGTACTTAGTTTAAGATTCACTTATCATGGTAAAAAATTTTAAATGATGTAGACCTTCATTTAACAGCCTATAACTTATTGAAAACTGATATTCATAAGTTAAAGTCATTATTTCTAAATCTTTAATTTTTTACCTTGGAAATGATACCTTGTTTACTTGATATTAAGTTTAAAATTTTGGTCAACTGGTTGCGCAACTTAAAACCTATACCTGTACAGTGCAGAACAAAAAAAAATTTTAGTTTTTTCTTTCTAATGAACAAATATAAGTTTTTACATCATTTAACATGTTTTCCATACATTCCTTGGTTTTCACCAGTTTTTCAGGGTAAAAGAAGAAACAGTTTTGGAAATATCATCTCTGGAATGTAAGCAACATTTACGAACTTTCAACATTGTGATTAACACACAATGTGAATTTTGAATCAAAAATCAAATAATTAGAAACAAAAGAGTAAAATTTAATGTTAACATCTAGTTGGTTCATAAAAGAAATAAAATATGTTATAAAAGGTTAAAATGAAATTCAGAAAATTAGCATCAATGCAACAATTTAAGTGTTAGTGATTCAAGAAACTGAGTGACTAGTTGGCTTTGCTGAGAAAAAATAATTCATTGGATAAGAGTACAAAAGCTTTCAGTAAAAGAGTGCAAGAAAAAGTCTATTATTAAATTATAAAAAAAAAATTTTTGGAGACTTTTATACAGTTAAAAATTCTAAAACATTTTGAATAATTTTGTTAAAAGAAAAAATATCTTCAAAGCAATAGAACAAACTTGAACAATAATTGAATTCAGCCCACAAACTAGAAAAAGATTTTTAAAAAAAAATTAATTTTAAAAACAGAATCAAATATCCTAACTAAAGAGCCAATATCTATCACCTCCACCGCAATCTTTGCCTTTCCTAAACTGCTTAGTCCCATAATTTCCAAAGAGGTCAAATAATTCTCCATTCATATAGCAACATGAGAGAGTTTCATATGGCATTCTAGTTTAGCAGGATAATAATGGAGAGAACTTTAATGCAAGCAAAGATTGCCAAGTTGATGATATTCCAACTGTTTGACAATAAATTTCTGTCTAAATAAAGTGGATATAACGGATAGTAAAATAATTTAAATTAAGAAAAAAATTCCAGCTTTACCTTAAATTCCCTGATTTTTTTCAAGTTTTTATCCAAATTTCCCTGACTTTTCCGGGTTTTTTTTTCAGTGTAAAAAAATTCCCCAATAATTCCAGGTGAGTGGCGACCCTGATAAAAACTATTTGGGGAAACAGGAGTTAGTTGACACATTCTCTAGCTTCTAATTTTTTTTATTTCATATTTTTTTCTCTGAAAGAACCCTTAAAGTGTGGATAAATGTACACCAACGGTGGAGTACTTTTAGAAATTATATATAGCAATTATACATAGTAGCAATTATAGTAGATATATATATAGTTGCCAACATAGATAGGAAAAAAATCAAGAAGAATTTCCGAACTATAAAATAAATTTCATGATAATTGTTGCATAATGTACTAAATATTTTACACATAGGGAATTTTAGGGATTGTTATAGTCATCAAAAAAGAAAAACTGCAATACTTTCCAGTCATGAGTGGCATTAAATATGCTTGAAATATAATGTATTATGTTTACTCATAATTTTGAGTAGTAGTAGGCATTTAAATTCATAAAAAATAATTGAAATTTTTTAATTAATTTAAAAAGGGAGTTGTGAATAAAAATAAACTGAACACTTTAGAGCAAAACAAAGTTTTTAACAGATTTCTATAAATGAGTCTCATTTTATTATATATTAGTAATACTTATTTGCAAATTCAAGCAGTCAACAATCCATGCAAAAATTCTATTTCAATAGAGATTTTTTTAAGAAACTTTCTCAATTTCTGGGAATTTTCAAAAATGTACAAAAACCGTGAGAATTTTTATTAAACTAGTAGACCAGGAGAAACTAGCAAAATCCTGTAGTCTACTGGAAAATCCATTGTTGAAAGCTATGGCAAGAGTTGGCAGCTATGTGGATATATGTAGTGTCTATTTCATAGGGTGCATTGGACACAATATAGTTAGAACCCCAAATTTTGAGTGTGATTGTTTAAAGAACATGGATTGTAAAACAGAGACAATTTTTTAAAAAGGCAAAAGTATAGATAAGTTTTTAGATATTTTCTCCCATTCCATATGAATGGTAAATAGTTTTTAGTTGTGTTTCTTATGGGATAATTTAAATTGAAAAAAGGGTTATTTTCTAATTAAGAGCATTCCACTTTAATCATCTGTCACAATGAAAATACAGAGGTCTGCCTAGGTTTTTTAAAGAGGTACCTATTTTGTGAAAATTTAGACATAATTTGTGAAAATTAAAGCTTAGTATATTAAAAAAATCAACACAAAAATATGGTAAGATAAAAAAATATTTTCAAAAATTGACTCTACAAATGAAAATTATTTATGACTTGTAAATTTCTATTTATATTCTTCCCATATGTTCAAAAAAAAAATGTATCCAACTATAAAATTCCATAAAAATCATTGTCTATAGTTAAATTCCAACCAGAATTTAATAAAAATATGCATTTAACAGTATTAGCACTAAAAGTTAACTTCATTATGAGAATATTTTTGACTGGGTCAAACAGAAAAAAGTTTAACAGAGAAAAAAATGTTTCATAAAAAAATAAAGGTCTATTAGAATAAGGTTTAAAATAATAGTTTGAATTTGACTTCCTGTAAACTTTACAGAGCTTCAAGCCTCATCATTTCATTTTTAAAAACTCTGCGGGGAAATATTTTTTTTATAATATGGTGCGAGCGACTGGTTAGGCTTGTCATAACGCACTATCTGACCAAACACGTGCTACCGATTCAGAGAAGAGCTCCTTTTGTCTATAGATTGCAAAGAGAATGGGGCTTGCATGGTTATAAGCACTTTTTCTTCCAAGTAAATTAAGGAACGGACTGGCTGACGCTCCTTTTCTCTCACGGTGTTTCGAGATACTGGCAAGCTTTCAGCTAGGCATGGTGAATAACAGCACTCTTCATACAAACCGGATATTCATCTCAAATGAGTCAGGATTTAGTAATGAAGAATTAAATTCTAATTTAATTAACGAAATTATTAACTCTGTAGTGACGTTGAATGATTTATTGAATAAATTTATAAATGAGTTAAGTAAGTTAAGGCATTATTGCAGATGTGCACACACTTAGCATGAAGGTACAAAGAATGTCTCTGATTTAATGCATTGAGATTGTGTTATCGCTTTGATAATTTGGTAGTATTGAATATTTGGTAGTATTTGAATATTTGGTAGTAATTTGGTATCAATAATTTGGTAGTATTGAGCCATGAGAAAAATACAGAAAACTTCTAAACCGCTTTGAGATATGTATGCAGAAATGTGTGTACAGATTATTTTTAACAAATTTAATGTAAATAATATAGAATTTATATTGTTAAACTAAATGAATATCTAAAGATGAATTTAAAAAAAGAAATCTAATGAAACCCTGAAAAATCTTTCCAGAAAAATCTTAATAGTTAGCGGCTATGCAACACAAAAGGACAAGAAGAGAAAAAATAATAAAAATTTATGGCAAAATATTGCACAATATGAAATTCAAAAAGTAGAGAATTTTAAGTTGTTTTTTTTTAATTCAGTAAAAGATAATAAAACTCTAATACCTAAATATTAACTTATATATATTGCTACTGGTTAACATTTCCCATTTATAATAGACATCAAATATACTTGAATATAAATTTATAATTATATATTTAAATTTAAAACTTGAATTTAATTCATTATTAGATAATTGTTACTTATTTTTATAATAAGTTACAATCAATAGACGTTAAAAAATTTCCAAAGAAAAGCTAAATATTTGAATTAATTTTTTAAAGAAAATTAATATTAATTTAAAAATATGTATATATATAACGTCGTTGCCGAGTGGAAGGATTAAAACAGGTCATAGGTCGGGAAGGAGGGTACAAAATTTATTTATTAATTATTAGACAAGAGCAGCCATGAGAATGAGTAAAAGTGCACATGAAAAGTTGCGCTCCTTGGTTATATGTTAGGGAAAATCTTGCAAAGTAAAATCCGTAAAATGTCTTAATTTAGGGAAAGAGGGAAATCTTAGTAGTTGCTATTGGTTTATGAGATAGATCGAAAGTTTCCCACACAGAGCAAAGGGGAAAATGTCCTGCTCTTAATTAAATGCATACTTGAGCCAAAAATAGATTTAAGAACAGGATGTGGCTTTTAAAAGTGTGAGAAAGTATTTCGTTTAGAATAATTAATTAGGATGAAGTGTTATAGCAAAGAAACTAACATAAAAAGATTAATTGAAGCTTTTTATGTATAGTATTTCCATGAATTTTTCCAGATCATACAAATTTACTAAAATAAACAGAAGAAACTTTCATTGAAATCAAGAGAAACTGATATAAATAAATTTAAAAACTCACAACATTCTCCAGACTTCCGATCGACAATGGCAACGTGTCTAGTTTCTTTGATAAGACGTTCTCTGGTATTATCAGCATGTTCAACAATGTCATCAATTATTTCTAAGAAATCAAAATGTTTTATATTAAAAAAAAATAATTTAAATCATTAAATTCTTTCCAAATTCTTAAAAAGTTAACTAAAATATTTTTTAAATGATACTTAAATTCAACTACATGCAAAAATGATACACATGACTGTAGTTTGTCCTTTGTAATCAAGAGAAACTGGTATAAATAAATGTAAAAACTCCTCCAGACTTCCGATCAACAATAGCAACATGTATAGTTTCTTTAAAATTTATTTATTTATTTTTTGCAGAATTAGCACGGTTTGGTTAAAATTATAAAATCTGCAATAAAAACTATGATTCTGTCCAAAACCCCTGAATTAAAAATTCTCATTTAAATTGTCAAAAAACATATCTGTCCACAGCTGCTTTTTTATAGAAGTTTTATTTAAGCAATTCTAAAATATTAAAAAATTAACATTTAATAATAGCATTAAATTAACTTAAATTATTAAACTTTCTTAAAATATGGATAAGGAATAGATTACATAGATAATGGATGAATTAAAATATGCATATGGATTTAAAATATATTTAATAAAACAGAATTAAAAATAAGTTTAATCTTTTCTTAAATTTTCCTTAACCATTTTCGGCCAAAGGTGAGCAAACACACCTGTTCAATAAATATTCTTCACTAATTTCATTTTTTTTTGTTGCTATTGCCAAGGGTTCTGAAGACATCGATAAAATATTAGTAATTCAATCAGTGTAAACACTTTCTGTTGCGAAATTTTTAAACTACTCTAGATAATTAACTTAAAACGATTATTAAGAAATGAAATTTTTTTAAATGTATAATTACTTCTTTTGAGATTTATCATAGGTTTTTATGATATATTAAAGTTGCAAATCAGTAAATAAAAAACAAAAACAATTTCATTAACAAAAAACAAGCGTTCAACTAAATGGTTTATTAGTGAATGGTGCTTATATGTACCATTTTATTTCTTCTATTTAAGAATTAAAATGGCACACATAAGCACCATTCACTAAATCCATGAATTCACTAAATCCATTTATTTGGACGATCTTTTTTATGAAATTTGTTTTTTTAATTTTATTTACTGACGTAATTTTTCATACATGGAATTTTTCTGTGTCTTGATGAATGCAATGTAAGTATATTTCTATTAAAATAACACCACATTTTATAAAATTTCCATGCTTGGCCTAAAATAGGTTAAATTAGAAGATGTTACACGAAAAGAGAATAGCATTAAAGGTCATTTCTAATTGGGATTCTCACAGTTGTAAGCTTTTGCTGTAATAGTTCAAAGCAATAACGTTAAGCAGAAAGTTTTACGAATATTACTTAAGCTCATGCAATATATCTTTTATATATAGACAAATATAAATCATTCAAATTTTTGCCTGAGATTCTGTATTCATATTCTGATAAAAAGTTGTCTCTAACAATAAAAAAATAAGTCATGAAAAGATGTAATTCATAAGAGCCCCAAAAGGATCCCTCTTCGGAAATGAAGTTAGGACTCATTTCTTCGTGTCTTTTCTATGTATTGTTTAAAGCATTGTTAAAAGCTTCTTATAAAACATTTTATATCCATGAAAGAACCATATGCTATATTTTAAAAATATCTGCCCATTTATTTTCGAGCGATGAATATTTAAACTTGTAAAATAGGGAAGCACAACCTTTTGAGAGAACACCCACTTGCACAGCAGGTAAATTAACAAAGGGTCGCACGCATATTTCGTCATATTAGCAGCAAATATGATAATTTTTATATTACATTAGTGTCCGAAGCATTAAATATTTTAGTCAGTAAATTTAATAACATGGTTGCAGAAAATTCAATACTTTTAATTATTTGAATTTATTAACTAAAAAATTATACTTTTTTTAAAAAACTTTTCCCATTTTTCTCAATAATTAATTTGCTAAATATAAATATTATTAAATATAAATTCTAACCCACAGGAGGCTTACAAAATGAAAGTACAAAAAAATATACGCATTTTATTGAGTAATATAAACTTGAATTAAATATTTTAATTAAAGAAAATTTGTAATACTTAAAAAAAATGAAATGTGAAATTTGTTTTATTGCATCCAGAAGATCTTGTGGGCCGCACGCCAACAGTCGGAAGGGCTGCATGTGGCCGGCAGGACACAGGTTGTGCACCCCTATTGTAAAACAATAATTTAATTAATGAAAAAAAATATTGCAAAATTCTTAAATTAAGTTAATGAGTTAAATCTTCGATAATAGAATTGAGGTTTTTGACGTTATCTTTTCCCTTTGAAAAAATACATATGCATCATTCAAAGTTTTAGATATTTCAAACTTGTTTTTTTACTTTGAATGATACAAGCTATAAAAGTTATAACATAGTTATAAAAATACAATGAATTGTGGGATTTCAATGGGTAATGTAGATACATTTAAAATTTAATATAAGCAAAATATTATAGCTAGATATTTATTATTTATATGCAATAAAATAAATGTTAGCAATACAAGTAGAAATATTTTAGTCATTTAAAGAACATAGATTTGGATCACTTTAATACTTTTTTGAACAATCAATGTTTTATTTAGGATGCATAAAATCCAAACCTTGCCTCATTGATTTACAACATTTATTTATCAAGTGTGAATTACAATGTATTAATTATAAATAAAATATTCTTGCATTTTTTATTTAACTATTATTGTCCTCTACCAAACTAATTAAATTTAAACATTTTTAATTTTGCCCAACAAATATAAAAAAATATACTATTCTTAAGGTTTCTTAACAGAAGTTCGGGAAATTTTTAAAGCCTAATATTTCCCTAGAACAAAATTTTTTTTATTTTAAAATTTTCCCAAACATCTTTTTTTTTTAAAAAAAAATTACAATGACTTCTTTAAAATATTTTTACAAAGTAAAATTTTTGCATAGCATATCGTTAATTTTTTTTTTTTTCCTTTACAAAAAATCATTTGGTTTTACACTCTTTTCGAATAAACTAGCAAGTGTGTAAAAATAACAGAAATCAAAATATATTGAAGTAGTAATAATTTATAAAACTAATTTATAAACTAAAGGAATTCAAACTAATAAATAAATACATTGGCATGCAAAGTTATTTTTGTTATAACACTTTTTTACAGTAAAAACTTTTTGTTGCATTCTTTTTAATCAGAATAATAATTTCCCTAGAGCTGTTTGAATTATCCAGAGATACTCAGTACCCCTCAGAACATTTGACAAACGATATAGATAAGTACAGTTTTCTGCTAAATGAAGAGGAATTCAGAAAATTAACCATAACTATTAAAAGAGTGCTTTTCCAGTAAGCCCCTGCATTTGCTGACAAGTTTTGTAATTAATTTTAATAATTAATATTAATTTAATAATCATTTTAATAATTTAATAATTTGTAATTCACTAAATGAAAAACTAATATCTAGTTTCCTAAGCAGAATGATACAAACATATATTTCCTTCTTTAAATGAATGTTCGTATCACTCTTGGGACGACTAGTATGTTTTATAGTCTTAAAAATAACTATTAATCTACGAAGTTTTATAACAATATTCAGTGTAAAATAAAAAGAAATTAATGGTCGTTCCAATCAAAGTTTTGTAAGACAAATTTTTTATGTAGAAAAAAAAACATGGGTGCCACTATAAAAAAATTTCAAGACTTAACTTATTTTTTGACCAACTAACATGGTCTAGAGTTATTTAGCAGAATTTTTCAGCAATTTATAGCTCAATTTGTACAAGAATGGCCCACATATTATATCAATGACTAGATTATTTTTCTAAAATGATACATTTATATTCTTTACTTTTAGCATCAAACAAAACAAAAATAACAGCTAACCTCATATCTTTTTAACACTAATATCTGAATTACACCACTAATTTTTTCTTGGAGCTATTCATATCTCCACTTATTTTTCACTTTATCATCATAAAGTTTTGTCCCATTTCTATACATTTTTTTTTTTTTTTAAATAATCATAAATTCACTTTACCCAACAAATCAAAATCTTGGGGGGGGGGGGATGCAAACTCAAGGAAATTCAGATTCAACAATACAAATTTTGGTTATAAAAGCAAATGTCGATGTTTAGATAATCCCATTCTTTCAACGTGTTAAGAAATTATTCTTTGCCGTGATTCATTTTGCAAGGAGTATGAAAAATAAAACTGATTTCATAAAAAGTGAGAGAGAAAAATTCATTAACTTGGCAGAAAATAAAAGTTGCATTTTTTTAAGAGAAAAAGAGAAATTTAATTTTTTTTGGAAAACTTAGTTTACAAAACAAACCAGAAATAAATATTAATTGGAGGATGGAATTCAGTCCCAGGGCTAAAGAGAAGATATAGAAGGGCTGGTTCTATGCATACTCAAAACTGAAGCATTCTATGCATACTCAAATACGAAAATCAATGGTTGATATTATATACCGCATGAGCAAATCAAGACATTGAATTTTAAACTTGCTTGAATACGAATTGCTACATAGGTTTTTAAAAAGGCGTAAACACGAATCACAATATCGGATTTTTAAATCTCGTAAATAAGAATCGCAATGTACAATATTCAAATTGCGTGAATAAGAATCGTAACACGCAAATATGAAAAGCTATGTTTGATATCAAAATCGTGTGAATAAGAATCGAGATATTAGCAGATTTCAGGCATGTGACATCTAAAAGGCTTATCAGAAGCAACATTGTTTGAACTACAAAAATCGGATCTATCTGCAGGGCGGGTAAAAAATTCGGAAAATCTTATTTGCTGCGTGTAAAAGGAGAGAAAATAGCTAAAATAAGTTAAAAAATAAGAAAGGATTGGTAGCTATGTAGTTTGAATTTTCTGTTTCTCTTTGAAAATCGGTGAATTTTCTGAAAAAGCAGAATACTTATGAAAAGAAGTGAAATTTTTGAAAATCTGAATTTTTGATTAAAAAATAGCTGAAATTCAAGAGACAAAGGTGAAAAAAGCGGAAATTCGCTAAAAAGCGGAAAAATCTCATTCCTGAATACATTTTCTTATTTATAATTGTAATTTTTTTGTATATATTATCACTAGGAAACAAAAATCTTAAATGATAATTACTAAAAAAATAATCTTTCAGTATATAATAATGAAAATATTACACTTGCTCATAAATATTTAAAATTAAGGCGTTATAATTAAAAACATATTTTGAATAATTACATTAAGAAATATCTTATTAAATTGGAAGAATTTTTAAGCGTTAACAACTTTTATTTTTAAGTTCAGGATTTTATTTTCTTTGACCTTGTATATTTTTTCTTCTTTTCTGTTTAAAGTTATCATTTTAAATGGCGAAATTAAAAATTCTTAAACTTCTAAACAAAAAACATAATGCTTTTAATCACAGCAAGATTAATTCTTCTAGCTCATCTTATAATTCATTTGATGTCACCTTTATATTTTCTGTAGTAAAACATGGAAAAGTACGTTTTCTCATTTTGTGTTTTATAATAATTCTTGCCAGTGATATGACTACTACTGTTAAATTTTTGGAACTAAATGAGAAGAACATCACCTCAAAATAAATAAAAAAGTATAGAAAAATATGAATGTATTGAAATAAGTTTAAAAAGGATGCTAGTTACATGCAAAAAAATTTATTTTTAAAGTGAGTAGTTGAGGCTGCGGTGACGTCACTGGCTAAAATCAGAAGTTCGGAGTGGCACGAGACTCTTCAAAGGTGTGACCCAGCCCTTCTATTCTCTCTTTAGCCCTGATTCAGTCCACTGATCTTTTCTCAAGACTGATTTAAATCCTCCGGAAATCCACTTATGAAAAAAATATTAAAAGGGTAGACCACCCATAATCAAGACCACTCTATGTAATCATTATAAATTAACACACAAAAATATATTGAACCATTCTGCAAATCCAGCTCCTGGCCAATATTTGCTGCCATGTGCTTCTGCTGAACAACAACATCGTGTAATGTGTCCAATCCTTTGTCTTGTTCTGTGAAGAAGAGAAACATTTTTACTCTAAAATCAATCACAATGCTAATTTATTGCAAATGTAAACATATTTTAAATTTAAATGACAATTTTCTAATCACATCTTATTTATTTCCTCTCTATTCTTTACTATATCAGACACTGTAGTTTTTGAAATTCGATTAATTTCAGTTATTATTTATTGGTTTTCTCCTTTTTCAGTTAAATTTAATATTCCATGTTTTTTATCAATTGAAAGTTCAACTAGTTTTCTTTTTAACTATTTTATGCAAAAGTTTATCTCAAACTGTCTCTAGAATCCCCCTAGCTCAGACACTCATTCTAAACTGCTCAGCATACTTTAAAGAATTTCTTTACTGATATTGATTTAGAGCAGTGCTTCTAAACATTATTTTTCTCATGGCACACTTTCAACGATTTCAAAATTTGATGACACACAAAGAAAAAAATAAGCTTAAAAGTTGTTTACTCTCCTATAATCCTCACTGTGCAAAATAGTGTATTTTAATAATTCTGAATATAAAATAAAATAATCTGTACTACAAAAACAGGTTTTATAAAGGAATTAATTAGCTCTTTCCACTTATGCAGCTCTAATTTCGCCTTCTTTCCTTCACATAGCTTCATAGTTCTTTTGTTTTTTTATTTAGCTATTAATGTTTTTTTTTTTTTTTTTGCTAGTTATTAATTGTCAGTTTTTTTAACATTAATTGTTATATTTTTGTGATTCCTTGTTAACTTGCTTTTTTGCTAATTATTAACTGTTAGCTTTTTTTGCCATTAGTTATCATTTTTTAATTTATTTTAATACTAATAACTGCACAGCTTATTTTAATTGTTCGCTTTTATTTCTTTGTTAATAAATAATTTTAATAGTCATTAAATTTCCTACTAATTTTAAGATTGTCAGAGACAAGATTATCACCAACAAAGATATACACGCCATTAAAGAACTGAAAAATTATAAAAAGTATATAAATATAAAAGATTATAAATATACTTTTCTTTAATTTAAACTTAACTCGTAATAAGAAAAGCATTATAATTTTTACTGTATCATCTCTAAAATTTGGCAGCACAGAAAAGTGCCATAGCACAGTGGCTGAGAATCACTGATTTAGAGAAAGATCAAATCATATTTCAAGGAATTTATTTATTGACATGTCAACTATATTAACTGAAAGAAATGTTTTTCAACTGACACATGAAAGATTTTTGACTGACACATGAAAGAGTGTTAAAAGATAAGGATGTTAATTGAAAACTAGATCAGGATGCTTAGCCTGATTTTTCAACAAAAAATAAGCACCTTTTAAAGCACTCAAATAATATTTTAAATAACTTTCTGAAAAAAAAATCATAATTAGAATCTGTGCAGCAATAAGAATTATCTTTTACTATCATTTAAAGTTCATAATCTATAAACATAAAATCAATAAAATTCAAAACCATTTACATAACCATGATAAAATAACCAGTTTCTGATAAATATTGCAGACAAAAATTGTGAAAATCATGCATTTTTTGCAATTTAGAACAACAATCGACACAGCAAAGAAAAAAATCTCTTTTAAAAAGACGAAAATTAAGCACATTTTATAAACCTGGAATAAAATAAAGCACATTTAAGGGCTTTTAAAAAACGTAAATATAAATAAGCACCTTTAAGGACTTTTTTAAAAACGCTACACACCCTGTAGATAAGCCTCTTCTAGTTTCCCCAGGTGGTTAACTTACCAATGTTAGCTTTTCTCACTATTTAGGGAAGTTCAAAATTCGATAGAAAATTAACAGAAACAAAAAAAAATTATCTTCCCTGATAAATGTAAAAAAGTTTATGAATATTTCATAATTGTTGGACAATTTTAATGTATTTTAATGGTGAACATACTATTTTAATGGTGAACATACAAGATAGATAGGTGGTTAGGTAACAAAAGGTTTGCTCCCTTATGTTATCTAGGATTCAAATTCAATTCTTAATAACTGAGGTTAACTTAAACAGGTAGTTAACTTACAAGGGTAGTCAACTTGAGAGATTACACTGTTGTAACAAATGAACAAATCAATCAAGTTGGCAGTTGTATGGGATAGACAGGTCTTCGGATAGAAGCATGTCGTACAATGAATTTCAAAAATCTTTAAATTCTAACTGAATGAATGAGCTATTCATTTTCAATAATGTTACCATTATTTGGTAAACAGAAATTGTTTTATCAAATGCGTTCAATTATAATTAGGGTTGCAAGTTTGTCAAAGTGCGAATTTTTATACACATTTCTGTGAATTATTATTTTTTTCTAAAATCTGTAACATTTTCAAACTGCAATTTGTACAAAAAATTTTTAAATTGTGAGATTTTTTGGTTTTTTAATTTTCTGCTTAGGTTTCAACAACAATCAGTACTTTCCTGATGCTAAGAAATTATTAACTGTTGACATGAAAATAGTTAAAAAATAGTCTAAATCATGTCTTTCTATAATCCTAAATTGATAAGACTCCCTAAAGTACAATACATATATATATATATATATATATATATATATATAGGTGGTATTTAGGTTGAAAAGTTTTTGTCTTATCTATATTCAGGTTCTGTCTGGATTTGTTTTAGAGGTACCTATTTTGTGAAAATTAAACATCATATTAAAAAATCAATACAAAAATATGGTAAAGTAAGAGAACATTTTCAAAAATTGTCACTTCAAATAAAAATCATTTATGACAGGTAAATTTCTGTATATTTTTCCCCATGTAAAAAAGATAATTTTGCTATTGTAAAATTGTGGGCTTAAAATTGCATCCAAATATAAAATTCCATAAAAGTCATGGTCCATAGTTAAATTTCAACTTGAATTTAATAAAAACATGCATTTAACAATTCTAGCACAAAAAGTTATTTTCAATATGAGAACATTTTTCGACTACATCATACAGAAAAAAGTTTCACAGAAAAAAAATGTTTCATAAAAAAAAAGGTCTGTTAGGATAAATTTAAGTATAGTGCTCAAGATAATGTTCGAATGTTTAGAATAATGCTCTAATTTCAACGTCCTGTAAAGTTTACAGAGGGAGATCCTCGTTGTTTCATTTTAAAAAACTCAATAAAAAAAAAAGAAGCTCACTCTGATATGGCGTGAACGAACAATTAGGTTTACCACATTGTTTCTGACCATACATGTGCTACCTTTTCGTAAAAGACATCTGACAAAAAAAAGCTCCTCTTTTCTCCAAATTGCAACGAGAACGGGGTTTGCATAAGGACTTGCTTTATTAAAAGTATTTTGTGAACCTTCTGTTCCTCTTAAAATTGAATTTGTGAAGGTACCGCTAAACGGTAGTAAATATACCCTGGACAGGCCCCTGATTTAAAATATTTCATTATTGTGTTTTCATGAGAATTTGCTGTGAATTCGGTAACTTTCTTCTTGTAATGTGACATACCTTGAATAGCCATTAGCTGTTGCTCTTTTATTTCATTGAAGCTCAAATCTCTGGTTCTCTCGTCCTCTTCCATTCCCCAAACATTCGTGGAAGCAGTCACCATTTCAGCACCCAGAAGAGCTTGCCTGGAACAATCATTTATAATTTATAGCCTCAACAGAATTTCACTCTAGTCTAAAAATTTTCCAGCAACAATTGGACACATGTGATTGTGTTAACAGGAAAAAATATATACAGCAGCGACAACAATGCTGCCATTTAAGTTCATTAAAAAAGGGTACATTTATTCTTAAATTTATTAAAGGTTTTTTTTAAAAAAATTTCCAATGAGCTGCACAATCTGTCTTCCCGTTGAGCAGACCTAGTGCGTTCTCCAGAATTGGTATCCACTCTTTCAGGACCACCACAATGGGTGAGATACCGTTGACCATGTTAATTTGGACGTCTAGTTTCTGCCACACTAGATGGCAGCACCGAGACTCTATATGGATGCTAAAGTGTACTAGGAATTTAATTTTGCCGGAAATGCCAAGAGCCAATAAGGCACTCTAGGGATCTTTTACATGCCGCATAATCATACGACATGGCCTCTGAGGATTTTCTGCATCCCGAAAATCCGGTGTCAGGGTCGGGGATCGAACCCGCAGACTTGGGCTCAGAAGGCTGAGAATTTATTAAAGGTTTATGAAACCTTTAACATATACTGAGTGCTTCGACACTTGCACATACCTGCCAACAGGGATAGGAAAAAATCCAGTAGATTTTACGAAATAATATAAATTTTATGATAATTGTTGCAGAATGTAGGCAAAGGGAATTTTTATACTCATCAAAATAGAAAAACTGCAATTTCCAGTTATGATTGACATTAACCTAAAAATGAAAGAAGTGAGCACAATCCGGGAAATATGGTTCGGGGGAGCGGTCTGACCTAGAGAAGTTTGAACCTTTATTTATTTTTTGCATATTTTGCCAACCATGAGAAAATTTTAAGCATTTTTGGAAATAATTATAAAACTCGTTTGTCAAGACAATTCCATGCTTAATAATAATTTTTAATAATTATGTATTGTTTCCTATTATTCTATTTAATTTGATAATAGTTGGCTAAAAGTGTCAGCTATTTAAAATTGGAATTGTCAGGAACTATTCCACTGATTTTGAAAAAATATTGCCATATAAAATTGCATTCTTTAAAAGGATGTAGAAATTTTTAAACCTACATTAAAATATTTTTCGATTATTTTTATATAAATCAATAAAATTATTAAAAATTGCTTTTTGTATCAAATTATTTTTGCATAAATGAAATGTGTACAAAAATTTTTCAATTCACTTTAAAAGTTCTCAAAGTATGGCAAAATACACAAGTAAAATTAACATTAAGGGATTCAAACTTTTGGGACCCTTTTTTTTCAGACTGTGGCTACCTTCTATATTTTGAGGGTCAGATATCCAATTCAGTCAAAAAAGTGTTTTTTATGTTTGATTTTGTAACTTATCTTATTGTCTACACTAACTGATTACTATATTTCAGGTCATCCCCTTGAAATTTTAAGTTTAAGATCCAGCACATCATCAGTTATTCAGGGTGATTCTTCTTCTTTTTTTTTTGCATCCTGTACACAATAACTTTATTTAAATTTTAGGTTTCGTTATTTCATAAGCTTCAACAAGCTGTTTCAAAAATAATGATGAAACAAATGAATGAATAAATAAAATCTTAGATCCCTTCAAAAATTTAATTTGTTTCATACCACACTTCTTCCATGCATCAGTGATTTTACATGACATCCTAAACCTGATTAGAATTATGTAGGTTTGGTAAGATTTAAATCAACTTATTTTCTTTAAAAAAAAGGATCATTAGTTCAAACGCTTAAAAAATTTATTGAATATGTCAAACACATTTTTATAAAGTATAATTTTATATCTACAGTGATTCCGCCCTTCAGACTTCTGAATCCACTAACGACGTTTCTACTAACAACTGTTCCTATCTAAATTAAGAATTTTCTCTTCATTCATCATTTAATATGCACATTCATATTACTATTTCATCCATTGATAGACAAATCAAAGAATTTTTTAAGAAGAAAATAGTTATATTTGAACATTCAAGAATGATCAAACACCTGCATCAAGGAAAAACAAACAATGCAATGTAACACTGAGAATTATTCCAATTTTCTTTAGCTGCTAATAAACAAGAAGAAATAAATTTTTTATGAGTATATTTTAGTTTCACTATAATCTTGCCAATATGCCACTTTTTTTTTTTTACACTGGAGAATTATGCGCTCCAGGGGATACGTAATAACTTCCTTTTTTGCAATATGGTTTTCAGTGTATTTCATTAATAATGAATGCTTCTTCAAGTGATAAAAGTTGGTTGAATTGATTGTTGAACTTTTCATATATTCACACTAAATTAGAAAATAGACTAGGAGTATAGAAAAGCTGCAAAACTTGCATTTAGTTGCAGAATGTAGAGAGATCACAAATTTGTAGATCTATTGATTGTAGACTGTTAAGAAATTTCTAAAAAAAAAATTATTCGTTCAAGAGAAATAAAAGTTTACAAATTTAAAATATTTTCATAATGATATTTAAAATATTTTTGACACCCAGTGGCTGAGTGATCACATGTCACAGATCCTGGTTAGATCCTTGAACTGGGTAAAGTTGACCCACCCTTTCTTCCCTTCAATGGGTCCATAAAATGAGTACCAAGCATGCTTGGGGACTAAGCACTGAGGGGTTCCACAATAGGCTGACTACTTAACCGGAACATCTGCTCCTGCACCCCAGAGCCCAAGGTGGCTGAGAACTAAGATGAGCAAACTAGGCCCTGGCCCTCTATGGGCTGTTGCGCCACTGAGTTTAATCAATAAATATTTTTAAATTCATAAAAAAACAAATATGATTATTGATAATGCATGCATTAGAAATTAACATAAAAATGTTATATCTAATGTTTTTGTTATTAAATAAAACCAGACTCCAGACAATATATTATAAAAAAAAAATATTTTGGCCAAAAGTTAGGTAAATATTTTATTTATTCATCTGTAAGTGAAGAACAATATGTCTAAGAACAATATATGTCCATGCCAAAAATCCACAGAGAATTCATTCCGAAACTGATCATATATCAATGAGATATCACTACTATTCTTAATTTGGGATTTTTCTTCATTTAAGGATTTTTTTTTTTATTATTAAAAGATGTACACGGCAAATAATAAAAAATAGTAATATTTTTCCTAAAATTGTAACATCAAGAGGAAAATTATCTTTCTTTCCGAAGTGGTAAAAAAAAGAAAAGGAAAACATCTTTAAAAGAAAAAAAAAAACAATGAAAAAGCAAGTAAAACCATAAAAACCAATGTGGAAAATAGGTTTTTGGAAAGGACGTATATAAAGGAATTACTGTGAAAGGTGTGTAGATTAATATTGCAAATAAAACATTATTTTTGATTTCCTCTGTGGTTTGTATTGAGAAAAAAAGTAGCCCTCGTATTACAAAGTCAATATTTAATTTTAGTCATTTCAAAAATAATTTAAATTAATATTTATGTGTAAAAAATATATATAGAAAGGGAATAAATACTAAATGCAAAAAATATGCAAAACAAAGCAAATAAATACCTGTTTCCACCCTCTTCTCTGCCACTGAAGGCGTCATTGATTTGAGTATTCTTATTATTTAGGCCATCAATGAGTCTCTCTCGTCTTTCAAACTCCCCTTCATCCCTTTAAAAGATAATAAGTTAAAAATCTCTTCAACAATATAAATAATTAAATTCATTCAATAAAAAAGCATTTTAATATAATTTTATAAACAGCCTGGCTTACATGTTAACTTCAAATTTTAATTTATTGCATAATCTGAAAGAAATATTTGTTCAAGATTATTGAGTCAAAATGACAAGTGAATTTGACAAGTGAATACTATTAAGAATAAAACTTTACTTCTGAAAAACACACATTCTTTAAAAGTTCTCAAACTTCTACTCATATTATTTCACCAAATTTTTTGCTTCTTTACACCCAATAATATTTTCTTGAGTACTTTTCACTTTAAATTTGATTTATCACAGTTGATCAAAATCCAAGAGTAAAAAATTTATATAAAAAATTTAGCTAGATCACCATTTAGTTAATAAAGTCTAACCTGCTTATTATAAGTGCCAGGGCAAAGCAATATTTGCACGCTATAACTCTGGTGCCAGAATTGCTGGCGACATTGTTGCAAAACTTTACAGTTCTCGCAGAAAGATTTTTCTTTTGAAAAGTTAAAAAAAAAAAAAAACGTTTTTTCTTTCTTTTCGACAGAAATTTACTCACAATATTTGAATTATGCATTAGCTTAAATTTGAACACATCAAATTTAATATAGTACTAAAAAGTTTAAAGTTTTTCACTTTTAAAAAATTTACTGTTTCCATATAATTTATTTTAGTTATATATACAGAAGTTTAAAGTCTGTATACATTATTTAAATATCAATGTGAATCTTCACAGCATTTGAATAAATTAGAGAGCTATTTGTAATTGTGAATTTAATTTGTGATAATGTATACATTTAGTTTCTGATTTGTTAATTTAGTGGTATTAATGAAGACTGGTTAAGATATTTCAAAAGTTTTTCATATAATTATTATCTAATATAATTTATTATTCATCTTTTTTCTAATTAATTCCACACAATTTAAAATAATATATTAAATGGCTTGAAAATCAATACTATTGTCTAAACTAGATTGCGATTGTAAACTGCTTAAAAATTGTTTTATAATTTGATATTCCTCTTTGAAAAACAATTTTCTCTTATTGCAGGGTCACCACTCAAATCTGGAAAAAGAAATTCCCTGTGTTTTCCCTGTACATATTATACACAATATATTAAGAGGAAACAACAATTACTGTGCTCTCATGTGAGCTATATTGGGCTAACTATATTAATTAGTTTTAATTTGATTGTGTCGGACTATTCAGGGCGGACTTAACTTCCGATCCCCTTCTTGTCATCGACTTTCTGGCTGTCAACAACTTTTTGGAGTTGATCTGACTAATGTCAGATCAATGAGGATAAGCAACAACAACAACATTAGCAACAATAACAAACTGGAGAAACAGCTGAATGTACTTAATTAATGCTATAATAAATGAAATAGTTTAGTATAGCAGAAATATCATAGTTAAATATCCCATAGATTACGCTTTGAGATGTCACCATTTTTCAAAAGACAAAAATAAGAAACAAAATTCACTGCATTTTCTCTGTTGTTTTAGGTGAATTCCCTGTATTTTCCAGGTTTTTCCTATTCTCTCTGTGGAGTGGCAACCCTATAGTGGGTTAGAAGAAACCTATTTCTTCCAGGACTAATTCCTAATGGGAATTTTTTTTTTACAGTATGTGCTATTCCTGTTTTATTACATGCATGGAATGCACAAATTAATTTCATCTATGTAATTGTTCTTTTATATGATAGAAATAGATTTTAATAAAAAGTTATTTTGAGGAGTTAAATAAAACCTTTAGTGTGAATGATGGTAAAATTGCAAACATTCTGCAATAACTATAAAAATTCTTTAAAGGAAGATTTCAAAATATTGTTTTAATAATTTCATTATCTTAAGCACAAACTAACTACCTGTAAATATCTGTTTTTCTTTTTTTCCAAATAATTTAAAGATTAATATTAACTTAAAATTCTTTCTTTCACATCAATATCTAAAAATTATATCAAGGGGAATAAATGATATTGCTAATTTAATCAGGGTGCGTAGTCAAATTTTTCAACAAAAAATAAGCACCTTTAAGGCACTTTTCAAGCACTCGAAAAATATTACTAAGCACTTTTAAAAGAATATAATTTGGCAGGGTTGGCAAGTTCTTGACAATTGACGGTTTTATCCGGTTTTAACTGTCATGCCAAGAAAAAAAGAAAAAACTTTTGGCATAGTTTTTGACAATTGTCAAAAATAATGATATTTTGAATCATGTAAAACGAATGGCGTTTTCCTACGCTACGGACTAATGGTACGCCGAAATAGATTGGGGTTGAATTCATTGTGAAAACGCTGAAGAAATTGAAGAAACGAAGAAATTGCTGAACCAGCACAGTAACAATGTGTTGACAGAATAATCTTTTCTGAGAAAATATTTTGCACAGAGTAAAGTTATAATGCTAAGAATAATGTTGTATATTCAACAACCTTTGATAAAATACCTGAAAGTGTACTAACTGTGCAACACTTTCAGAATAAGAATTCTGTAATGGTTTGGGCTGTAGTGTAGGAAAATTTCCTCTGAACTTCATTGATGAATGGGTAAAAATCAATGCTGAACATAACAAAAAGGAAGCATTGGTTACACATTTATTGCCACATGCTGTATTCAAAAATTGATAGAATATTTCAGCAAGATTCTACACCATAACACCAAGACGAAACAACATAGGCTTGGCTCAATCTTTTGAAATTTATTAAGGCAGAACAGTGGCCCCCATCTTCATTAGATCTAAATCTTGTAGATTATAGTGTTAGGGGGATTCTAGATTCTATAATCAATGATAAGCAGCACAGAAGTTAGTGACACTCTCAGAGATCTTTAATTGCGTGAATGGGACAAATTATTTCTGAAAATAATTCATGCCGGCATCAGACAATGACATAAAAGATTATCTTCAGGAATCGATGAAGACGTGTTTGAATTGAATAACAGTTTTTTAAAGTAAACTTCCACTTATAGTGTTCATCATAGTTGTATATTTATTATTTTCTATTTAATATCAGCACAATAAAATTATTCAATATTTTTAACAGTATTTTGTAGCAATTAATCTAACAATAATTAACATAAAAATTTTAACCACTTTTAGAAAAGCAGATGTTTTAAAATTTCAACTATAGCCTTGCAAATACAAATGACAACGTTCTAAAAAGGGGTTAACAAATTCAATTGCTATTATATCGCCTAATCAAAATTTTGATTATTTTCCGACGTAAATAATCTACAAGGCATAAAACCTAAAAGAGAATATAACATGGCATAAAGTTTAAAAAAGTATATTCTTAAGGCAGTAGAATATTTTCTTATCAGCACCTGTTTGCACCAATTACCATGATAAAGGAGTAAAAGAATTTTTATTGGATACGAGTTGGAGCATTTCTGTAATCATTAAAAGACTCTCGTTTGGATTTCCAAAATTTGGAACTTTCTTGGCACAGGTTAAGATAAGGATATCTTCCTACAAAAAGACTACAGTATGTGATATTAGTCATATATCACAGCCCCAAATGTACTCCCAAGTCATTCGAAAAACATTCTGCCAAAATAATATTATTTTTTCTTCTTTAGTCTACTTGAAAGACTTTTTTTTCACCTTTCCTAATGACAAAAATTAGATGGATGATCTTGCTTTTATATATTAATTTAAAAAAAACTATAAAAGGGGGTAAATATAAAAGAAATAACATTCAGAGTTACGCAACTTGTAATGATCCGTTAGAAATGCAAATAATATATAAAGTAAAGAAACTGAGCATTATTTACATGGACATATCCCCATACGACTTATATAGTACATATTTAAGAATAAAAATAGAAATTGGCACATTCTCATCAAGAATCTTGTCTGAAAGCCATTATAGATTAATATTTTAGTTCAGAGAAAAAATTAATAACTAGATATTATGTACAAACATCATCTAAGAGAAAGATTTCCAAATAAATTATCAACAAATTTTAATCCATTAACCAATTATAAGAGAGACTAGTTCGACTTTAGCTGCCTATTTCTGTAATTTCGTTTGTCGTAAGAGACTAATCGTAATCAGACGTAGCAGTAGAACACCGAAGTAACACCTAAGAAATTTTTCTTTTGTTGCAGTTGTTTTTCATATTCATTTACGTCGCACTAGAGCTGAACAATGGGTTATTAGCTACGGTCTGTTGTTGTTGTTAATTTACTTCGCACTAGAGCTGCACAGTGGGCTATTGGCGGCGATCTGGGAAACATCCCGGAGGATGATCCGAAGACATGCCATCACAATTTTGATCCTCTGCAGAGGGGATGGCAACCCCGCTTCGGTAGCCCGACGACCTGCGCACGAAGTCAAGCACTTTACGGTAGCACAGTTTAACGAGGACCAATACCGCACATCCTCGGTCCCTACGCAGACTGATCCAAGTGGTCACCCACCCGCACACTGACCGCAGCCATAGCGACGGTCTAAAAAAAATCCACGAGGATGATCCGAAAACATGCCATCACAATTTTGATCCTCTGCAGAGGGGATGGCACCTCCACCTCGGTAGCTTGACGTCATGCACGTAAAGTCGATCACTTTACAGTAGAAAAGTTTAACTAGGACCAATACCGCACACCCTCAGTCCCTGCACAGACTGATCAAGGTGATCACCCACCCACACACTTACCACAGCCATTGATGCTTGACTTTGGTGATCTGCTGAGAACCCTGTCTAAACGATCAGTCCACTGCGGAACTAAAAGAAAATGAATAATACTCTGTCTTTTGACAATACTTAGCAAATTCATAACTAGCATAACACTCGCAACACGTGAGACATGCTGTTTTTTTTTAAGAGTCCCTGAATTATATAAGCTGACTTCACAGCCGAAATTTTCCTTAAGGCAGAAGAACTATAATATTTGACAACTTATTGCGGAAAATGACACTAACCTCAGCAGAAAAGCTGGTTTGCATACATCGATATACAATGTTTTTCGGAAACTTTTTTTATACTTACTCTTATTTCTTATTAAATGGTCCCGCAGTGGATTGATCGTTAAGATACGGTTTCCAGCGGAGCACCGAAGTCAAGCATGACTTGCTACGGTCAGTGTGCGGGTGGGTGACCAGTTGGATCAGTCAGCGTAGGGACCGAGGTTGTGCGGTATTAGTCCTCGTAAAACTGTTCTACCATCAAGGGCAGCGTCCATAGGGGGTCAGGGGGGCAATTGCACCCCTGTCGGACATGGCCAGCTTCCCCCCCCCCCCCCCATCGGGAAAAATTTAAAGTCTCGTCGGGAAAATAGTCTGGTCACATTTTTTTCTAAATAATGTCAAAAATTCATTTACGAATGCCTAATAAAAAATTTTGTAGTTGACTTTTTATTTATTTATTTTTAAGAATTAAAATTCTATGTAATTGTAGTTTCACTGCACTACTTGTAACTTAGCCCATACATTGTTAAACTAGAGGCCGGATGCGATTAGATATGGTTGAAATTGACCACTTTTCCAAGTCTCATAGAAATCCTTTCCCAAAGACACATCTTCATTTTCTTGGAAACTTATCTTTTAAACTGCTATTCTTTATTCTGGAGAATTGAGGAGGGGATATTCACACTTTCACACCTTTTTGCTGGGGAATATCTGACAAAAGACTGAGGGACAGAAAGAGACAAGTCCTCTGCTTTACAAATTCGTTTTTATGTAATGTGTTTATCAATGGTGTATGGGATCACATAATTGCTTTTTGAAATTCTCAAGCAAAATAAAAGAATAAGAATAAAATGAAACATTTTCAGTTTTAATATTTTCATCTTTTTTTAAAATTTTTTTAAAATACTTTTAAAGGAGGAAAAACATTTATTTATTCGGATTCAAGGATTATATTTTAATCAACGCAATAAATATGCAGTTGGAAAAAAAGAAAAATAAACAGTAACACATATTTTTAATTTATTTTAATTTTTGAGGCAGATTTAATTTATTATTTTTTTTTATCATTTTCTTAAAAGTAAAATAATTGTTGATTCATTCAGAAAAACAATTAAACTGTTCGTATTCAATATCTTAAAATATATGTTAATCAACATAACAGATTCTCATTGACTTATTTTATGTACAGTGTATGAAATGGAAAAAGGGAACACCTTGATTAACTTTTCATTTAATTCTGATTTCGTGTACAAAGAGTCAATTTTTTAAGTTGCGAAATTGAACACAAAAACGCATTTTGTTCTGGATAAACATACAAGTTTTTCTATAGTTTCAGGTTTTTAATCTTCAAATGCGGAAATAGCTGCAATCTCGAAGATATGGTTCAAAGTTATGGCAAAGAGAGAGATGGAAAGTTTGGGTTCTTTAATTTTAACTTCACTCTTCGATTATTGCCCATTATCTCGAGAACTTTTTGAGTGTATAGAAAAATGCTTGCTTTCAATTACAAAAATTTTTTATTTGCAAATAATTTTGAATAATTATTTGTTATTTTTTATTAGTTTATTAAATAATAGTAAAATATATTGAATTGTATGTTCCACATATTTTTGCTTTCAAACTACTATACTTTCTTCTATACTACTATACTTTTACAATTTATACTTTCAAAATACATACTTTCAGAGCAATCAATCGATTAGTTTCTGAGTCATCAAATTTAAAAAAAGTTGGTTTGCTCAAAATTTTATTCATCTCGAATTATTCAACCGATTTCATAAAAAAATATATAAGAATTTGTATATCTTGCTATTTTATTTTATTTTATCCGTCGTTGAGCAGCCGACCCAATTTTCGAGTTTACGTCTACTAATGTTCAACTCCGTAGCCTTGTCATTTTGAACTAATCCAGAAGAAAAGGAAACTCCTGAATCAGTAACCCCATAGGTACTGATTTGTCACGGGAACATGGTGGACTTAGCGACTCGACAGATTTAACGTGCATCAGTCACCATTTACTACACGGGGATTTCAAAATTCAGGATTCAAAATTTCTCCAAAGCATTTAATAAATAAAAAATATATTAAATATTTTATAACTATTAAACTATTAAACTATAGGGCCACATTGTGTACTCCTTATTGAGCCTATAATTATTTTCTCTGGTAGAGTACTGTAGTACCCGGTGATATAATACCTGGTCTAATACAAATATTATGGGTCAACATTAAGGTAAGATATCGGGCTATGTGTTGCAACAGAATATTGACTTCGAATTTCGTCATTTTAACGCTATTCAACACACTATTATATTTATGTATACATAGTAAACTATAGGGCCACATTGTGTGTCCCCTAAGGAGCCTATAATTATTTTCACTGGAAGGGTACACTAGAACGCAGTAATATAATGCGCGGTCCAATATAAATATTATGGGTCAATATTATGGTAAGATATCGGGCTATGCGTTGAAACAGAATATTGACTTCGAACTTCCTCATTTTAAAACTAATAAACACACTATTATATAGTATATACATACATATTAAACTTGATTGTCATATTGTGTGCCCCCTAATAAGCCTGCAATTATTTCCTCTTTTAGGGTATACTAGTACTCGGTGATATAATACCTGGTCTAATATAAATATTATGGGTCAATATTAAGGTAAGATATCGGGCTATGCGTTGAAACAGAATATTGACTTCGAATTCTAGACAGCCTATCTCCCTTTAGCGTATTGCCAAACCATATCATCGGTTATAAACTTTGCGATTGCAGGTGGAATTGCCGATGGATTACGATTAAATGTGGTGGGGGAACGAAATTACATTAGCCTAAACAGTGTAATTCGATATTCTTTTCTCCTCCTTGACTAGCCATGATGAATAAAAATAACTTATTAATTCTTCTTGATAGAGAATGAAAAAAGAAAATAATCTTTTTATTGTTAGGATCACTTTACAAATACACTGTATTTATATTTTTTATATTTTATTAATCGCTCACTTTACAAATACACTGTATTTTTATTTTATTAAACGCAATAATTTATATTTTATGAAACGATCTAGTTTTTTAATATAACGTATTTATTTTTTTTACAAGAATTGCGTTTGCGAGGAAATAAAAATAATTTATTAATGAATCAATCAGAAAAAATAACGTAACATTTTAATACCATGTTTTATTAGAACGCTAGTTTGAAGAATTAATTCTATTTAACTTTTATTGTAAGAAAACATAACTTGTTTTATTTTAGTGATATCATCTGTTAAATCAATCTTGATAGAAGAAGAATGTAAACTTTTTATGAACATTTTTCTCAGAAATTGACAAAGACATATTATTTACTAGATAAAAAATTAGAGTATTCAAAAATTTTATCATGCTTTAAAGTAAAAATTTCTTGCAAATGAAAAAATCGATATTTTTAAAATTTTAAAGATATCGGAAATTCGCTAGTGAAAAAAGAAATATGTGAAATAATTTCAAGAAGGAAAAAATTTACAAATGAAGGGATTTTTCCCCAATCTCCAATAACCTATGTCGCGTTTATTTTATTAATAGAAGCATTTATTGTAAAAAAATCTTCATTAAATTACCTTTTTTTCAATGGGATGAGATCCTAAACTTCGTGAAAAATTGATTCAATTCCTTAATATACATAAAAGTCAGTAAATACTTCATTAATTACGAAGGTCATAGATACCTTGATACTCTTTTAATATTCGAATAATAAATGCAATTAATAGATAATGCACATTTTCAAAAAAATATTTTAGTATTTACTAATATTGCGTGCAGGTTTATACGTAACATACATACGTATCAGTTAAATGTTTTGAGTAATTAAATACATAACATAAATAAAAAAATAACATAATTAAGAAATAACATAATTAAAAAATACCATAATTAAAAAATAACATAATTAAAAAATAACATAATTAAAAAAATAACACAATTAAAAAATGACACAATTAAAAATATAACATAATTAAAAAATAATAATATTAAAAAACTAAAATAGTTAAAAAATATATACATATATAGTGAAAGATAATTTAAATTTTCTAATGCGATGAAGCACTACTTTGATTTTTTCT